CTTCTTTGAATACTTACTTTGCCCATCAATGACTCATAAAATTACAAGAAAAATTATGTTAATTTTTTATTTTGATTTAATTTAATTTATTATTTTTAATTAATAAAATTTATTTTGTTTAATTTTTTTTTTCATTCTCATATTTTGGATTTTGTTTAACAAAGTTGAGCTCTTTCATGTTTAATTCTTAAAAATAAATTAAAATATTATTAAATATTGTTTTATGTTCAACAATGCTTTTACACTAAATTTACCTAATACTATTTTAGTTTCTTTTTATAGTAATTTTAAGCATCTCTACTCGAACCATACTTCTTACTACAAAAACTCTAATCAAACAAAATAGATATTTAATATTGCACTTGAAAATTTTTAATGAAATTATTTTAATTTTATCCCTCCACTTGTCATAGTTTGATAATCAAGGATTTTGCTTTAACCTATGTTTAAACTACTATCTTAATTAAGTAACAAATTTTATATTCATAAAATTAATGAAAATTATAAGAATTAAAATAATACGTTGCATATAATGTAAAAACAAGTTTTTTAAAGGCAAGTTAAAGTCTTTCTTTTTTTTTTTTTTTGAACAATGGCAAGTTTAAATTGTTGCTAACTTTGAGACAAATATATCTGACGATGAATCCTTGACTCACTTAGATGTTGTAATAGAATGATTTACTTTCACTATAGCATCTTTAAAATTGATGAATGATTAAAAGCATGCCTAAAAATATTTACAATTAAAATCCAATTGATTAATAGCTGATTAACCCATACAGTAGAAAAGAAGTTGCCAAAACGCTTTTTCCTGAAGCGCGTGGGTTTGGATGACTCCTTGGCCACATGTGTGTCAGGTGGCAAAATCCAGCATGTCACAAAACATTACCACTATTTTTTTTTTCTTTCCTCCTTGGAAACTTTAATATATATATATATATAATTTTTGGATAATTTATTTCCCTTTTACGTATTTCATTTCATTTTCTGCTCTATTTTGGAAATTTTGACGAAATTGAAGTTACCCCACGGTTCGGTAAAGCGGGAGCACTTCAGAAGTCGAGTTGACCCGAACACAATATGTATTGACAATTTTGCCCTTACGCCTGTGTGGTTCTCGCAGCCAAACCCTGGGACCCTCAATTTTTAAATTTTTATTTTTCCGTCGCCTTCCAAGGTTGGAACAATAATATTTGTCCTACTTTTAAGACCATCATTATTGTTTTTTTATATATATATTTCTTTGATTTGAACTTAAAACTGTAAAGGGACAAGGAGAAAGAAGAGTTAAAGCTATTTGAATTTTAAATAGATTACACATGATTATTAAAAAGAAATAAAGTAAATGGTTTTTTTTTTCATTTCGATGCTTTGAGAGAGGACATAAAGATGTTCGTGGATGGATATTATTAGAATGTTTCACCTTTCAAGCTTATCCAATATTCTCAAGCTACTTGGAGTCAACCATCTTTGATCACAATCCACATTCTATATAGTAAATTGGATGGAATAAGTGAAAGTTGCATCTTCACTAAGATTTCATGTCAATTGAACTTCAACCCATTGAAATCCATGACCATGGTTTTCCTACTTTTAAATTAAAAAAAAAAATAAAACAAGCTATGACACTTTAATATGATACATATGGTTACTCTTGTCATTTTCCAAAAAAAAAGTATAATATTTATGATTAATAATAATATTTATGTCATGTCAAAAGTATTTTTAATATTGAAAGATAGAATTATGATTAATAATTAAACATTTATCATAATATCCAAATCAAAACAAATGACACATTGCTGCTAAAAGCAAACCAAAAACTCTTTTACCTTAACAATAATAAATATATTTCATCACGAACAAACAAAGCAAGCTGATATCTTAAAAGTTTAAATTGTTATCTTATAATTCATTTTTGAATTGATCATTACATTATTTTAAAAACAGGTTAATTACCATGATTCATTTTTGACCCATTATTGGTGGAGGTGAAATTGTTACTAGGCTAATACAATATAGACTGGTCAATCGGTGTTCTAACCAGGCAAAGTAGAAAATTACACATGAGAAGGGGACAGCGTGCAGACATTAACCAAGCGGGAGGCAAGCAGCTGCCAACAGCGGTTAAAGGACTTTCACTGGGGGTCTGAAACTGGCAGGTGGCTTTGTTTGACTAGTTGAGAAACTGTCAACTTAGTTGGCTTTTGACGTGCAGAATTTTCTGGCTGTACTTACAAAATAAATAAATATTAGTAATATAACTATTTTCATTTCATTTCATTGCACGTGTAAATACAAAAACTTTTAAATTAATTTAAAAAATTTAAATAAATTTTATTTTTTATTATTCAATTAATATCTTATATTTTTATTTTAAATTAAATAAATTTTATTATAATTAATAATTAATTGATTAAAATAGTTAAAACGTTACATATCATTTTATATTATATAATACTGATATAACGTGTTGATATATTATAGTAAATGATGATATGATTACGTGATATTTTTATTATATAATTTAATGTAACATTAGTAGTATGTGAGTTGAAAAAATAAAAAAATATTTTAATTAATAATAATTAATTAATTATTAATTATAAAAATTTACTTAATTTAATATAAAAATAAAAAAATATTTTAATTTTCATAAATAATTTTAAAACATTTTAAACCATTATGCATGTTTAAAAAAAATACTATAATTGAAAATAAATATTATTTTAAGATACTATTAGGAACATTTAGATTATAACTTTATCTCCATGTATTTTTAGACGAATTTTGTCAAATGTCTGACAGAGATTGTGGTCATGGAACATACGTACGAACTTTTGTCTTGTGTGAGTGATGTTATAATAAACGGTAGAGGGTGGGATGAACTTTCAGGCCTTGAAGATTGAAATGAATAAAGGTGTTGTAATGTGAAGGTGGGCAATTAAAAACATTTTAATCATGAAACACGAAAGGAAATTGAAGGACCCACTACTAGAGTAGAGACGGTGTGGGGTAAGCTTTCTTTCTTGTATTTTCCTTCCGGATTTACACTGATAATAATAATAATAATAATAATTTGTCAAGTGATGTCCAGGCTAGTCATATATAAATATGAAGGGATAATCTCAAACTCAAGAAACTAATATTTTTAGATTAAAATATTCATTTAGTCTTTATATTTATGCATTTTATTTAATTTAATACTTGTATTCAAAATCAAAATAATTTAGTTTCTTAATTTTAAAAATTACGCCAATTTAAGTTAAAAACTAAATCAAATAAATTTTAAATTTTTATACTATTATAAATAAAAAAATTTAGTTTAGTTTTTTATATTATTTTATTTAAACATAACGTAAGTTATTTATCTAAATTTGACTTTAGGTAAGAATTTTGTTTCAAATTGTTTTTATAGAAAGAGAATTCAAACTTAATTATCGCAAAAAAGATAAATTAATGTTCATATTTTAAAATCAAATAATTAAATAATCAAATATTTATATATATTTTTTAAAGTCATAAATCTTTTGTATTTAAATATTTGACTTATTAATAAGTATATCTATAATCTATTTAAATATTTATATTTTTTTATTTTTTTTCACTTTAGTCCCTTAACATTTCAATTTTGTTCAATTTAATCTTTCTAGTATATATTTGTTCAATTTAATCTCTATGAAGTGACAAAAAAATGTTTTTGAAAATTTTTTTATCTGTCATGTGGTATTGATATGTTAGCATGTCAGTATCATGCCAGCATTGTCATATCATCATATTAGAGTCACGTCATTAAATTAGTATAACGTGATATGCCATGTTATCTTGTGGGTGTTTCTTTTTCAAAATATGTCACGTTAGTACTGATATCAACGTTGATTTCATTCTTTTAATAAAAAGATTAAATGTTATTAGTAAAAAAGATTAAATTAAAATAATTTATAAAATTAAGAAATTAAATAGCTTTAATTTTGAATATAAAGATTAAATTAAACACAATACATAAATAGAAAGACTTGATAAATATTTTGATCATACTTTTGTAAGTCTAGTTGTACCTCATGCTTCAAAACTTTTAGTTAAAAGTGCTTTGAAAATTCTCAAGAAATTTTAAAGCCTTGTGATGCACTAAATTAACACGACTGTGCCACGTGGCTGAAACCCAAATCATATCCACAAAATGGGGTTGTTAGCCTCTTGGATGCCTCCCGGATAAATGGATATGATCGGATTTATGCCCCTCTGTTGGGATTAATTTAGTATTTTGCCGATTGCTTTCTACTACCATATTGATTTTCAGTTTATATCTTAAGATCGAAGAGCATGAAAAATTTCAACAAACTTGGAATATCTTTCCGTTTTTAAATGTGCAACAAAAATTTAGGGCAAAGGTTTCAATCAAGTCCTCGTAAAATTATGAAACTAACACTGAATTTTGGAGGTTGTCAACTGCGAGTTTGGTTGGGATAACTCGTCCTAACAAACAGAATACATTATAAGTATGTTGGAACTAGGAAAATAAGAATCACAATTATAACAAGGGAGTTGGGAATAATTTGCTTCATCATTAAACTTTATACATTTCTTTCTTTTTCTTTTTTTTTTCTCATATATTCTTTTCTCCATCAAAGAAAGAAAGTAATTCAATAGTTTTAAGAGTCAAAATCCTAATATTCTTTTTGTAATTTTTTTTTTTTTAAATTAAATACATTCACGCACTGCTTGACGCCAACTTTATCGATATGGTTTAGAGAAGGTTACAACAATGAGGAATCAGAGTGGAAAGTGACGTCCCAAAATCCAACACAGTCTTAATCCAGCACATGATGGAGCTCACGGAATGACCACTTTCAATTGTCGTACTCCATCGGCCAAACCCAAGCATACACAATACAACCGTGTTACAACTGTACAAAGCCTGCCTGTTGTACCTATACATATATATATATATATATATATAAAGAATTGTTGAAATGGGAAACATGGAATCTGAAATACTGTTAAGAAAATGAATGCTCTAATCTCTAGAATCAGGCATTTTATTTGAATATTCTACTGCGTAACATTGACAATGATACAAAATTTCAGCCTTGTATACAGTTTCATCTATCATAAAGATTGATCTAAAATATTGGCTTTTTTTTCTTTTTAGCTTGTATTTTTGCAATACATATATACTTGTAGAATTGACCACAGATTCAGCTCGAAGACCCTTCAAACTGATCTCGAAGCATTTCATACTTCTTAAGCTCTGCCATGGAAAGGGATGGGGAAAGCTCTCCCAACACCTGCACCCAGTCAGTAATTAATATTTAGACATTTGACGCTTGTCCAAGGAAAGGAGTCTAAAAAAGACATTCTCATAAAAACTCAGAGAATTATTATTATTATTATTATTTAAGTATCAAATTACAATGCTGAAATGTCTGCAGAATCATGTAAATATGGCCATCCAGTAATTAGACTTTAAAACATGTTTTGAATCATTTATGTTAAGGCAAGATATGTGATTTCAAGTGCACTTTAGCTGCATCTTTCATCATAGTAACTGAAACTTAGCAAGCAGTGATGACCATGCAGTTGCAGTTTATGCTAATTTAATCGCATCTCTTCATGGTTTATTCTCCTCATTTCTTTATTAGCTTTCAGCTATTTAATTGCCATTCAAAATTCAAAATCTTATTCACATGTGATTCTCACAAAGCTCTGCTTGTCAGAGAGGACGCACGTCATACCTTCATAAAATCATCATATTTTACAACAATGGAGTCAGCTTGACCTGTGCAAGAAGAATCTGAATCTGAACTCAACACCTACACAAAAAAAAAAAAAACCAGTCTAAGCAATGAAGAGAACAGTTTGTTGGCAGTGCTTGTAGTATCTTGATACACGATAAGCTCAAATTCCTCAATGTACATTGCATTGACATTGAAGATATGACACTTTCACTGGGTTCCTTCAGTGAAAAGAGCTGATTTTGACTCACCTTGCACTTTGCAGCATGAAACCAAGCATCTGCACATAAGGCATACATATCTGCACCAGTGAAGTTAGGGGGGCATCTCTTTGCAATTGAGTAAAGGGATACATCTTCATGCAATCTAAACTTCCTCGTAAGTGCTTTGAGAACTCTGGACCAAGAATGGAATTTGGCATACAAAAGAACAAAAATCAAATTCAAAAGTATGTATAACATACAAGCATGAATAGCAAAAAAAAGGGTCCAAAGGTATAAACTAACCGTTCTCTGTAAGATGCATCAGAATTGACGCCAACATATAGCAGTTTGTCAAATCTGCCAGGCCTTAGAAGAGCTGGGTCAATAAGATCTGGTCTGTTGCTTGCTCCTATAATAAAGAGGTCCTGGAAAACCGGACAGAGGACTAGTCTCAATGCTATTTGGACAGAAAGCAGAGGAATAAAGTATTTCTAATAACAAGTAACATAAAAAACCTGTGTAGAATCATTAAGGCCATCAATCTCTGCAAGCATCTAGAAACAAAAGAAAACTGTCATGATTAGTAACAATAAGTGAAAGCAAAGAGAGCTGATCAAATAATGCCATAGCAATAATGTCATCACCTGAGAAACCACTCTGTCCATAACACCCCCAGAATCCCCAGAAGCACCACGAGCAGGAGCAAGAGAATCGAGTTCATCAAAGAAGATGACACATGGCCTCGCCGATCTAGCCTGCAAGACTTACAATATCACAACACTGGAGTTGCAGCATAACATGCAGTAAAAGCCTGTATGCAACCCAATTTACCAAGAAAAGGAATTTTATACTCAAAACGAGTTTATTTTTGTTTACCTTCTGGAAAATGTCTCGAACATTCTTCTCTGACTCTCCTATGTACATGTTAATTAGTTCAGGCCCTTTTACACTAAGGAAATTTAAGGAACACTCAGTTGCTACAGCTTTTGCCAACAAAGTCTGACATTTAAAGCAACAATAAAAAAATAGGAAAAAGAAAAGTTATAGAAGGTGTCTTAAAATAAAAATTTGGAAGGGTGAGAATAATATTTTAGTCCATGAGAACTTACTTTCCCTGTTCCAGGAGGACCATAGAGAAGAACACCAGAACGCTTGCGCAAGCCAGATGAAAACAAATCCTTATGCAGGAGAGGTAACTGCAGAGTTAAACAATAATATTGAGTAATTGAAGTCAAGACTAGCAGGCTTCCGATTCCATAAAATATTAAGCAAAATGGACCACCTATATACATAAACTGAATAGAAACCTGTTTGGGGACTAAATAATGTGCAATTGTAAAACCACTCTAAATATCTTTTCCTTAGCATTTGATAGATGGCCAACATACTCAAATCATTGTCACCATTTAGCAAACGTGTCATTTCATGTGTATTATGAGCAAAAATGTACCATGTTTTTCCTATAATCTTTATATTTTCAATTGACAAACATCCTATGATCACAAATAGCATTTTTGTCCCCCTAAGGGGAATGGAGGGATTAAAATTATTCAACAAATGGTATGCTTTTAAAATTCAAGAGACATTGGCCAAAAAAAAAAACTCAAGATACTGAGTAAGCTACCTGGACAGTGTCCAAAATTGATTTCTTCACATCCTCCAGCCCCCCAACATCTTCCCATTTCACATTAGGAACCTGCAGCAAATAAATCGAGGTTCAAATCTGTCCTACAGTCAGCAATCTAAATAATTACTTCACTGCAAGTTCACCAGAATACTAAAAAAAGTAAAACATGAAGAATCTTTACTACAATTGGCAATTACATGACATTATGTTCTATATTTGCTTTGTACAAGTTACCTTTGGAGCACCTAATGCAGAGGCATTCCTCTTCTTTGATCGTTCCAATGCTTTTGTCAAGTCCTCTTTCCCCATAGTATGAGCTGCAGTATAGCTTGATGTATCCTGTACTGCTTTAACTCTAAGAGGACCATCTGATTGTGACGATTCTGCTTCGTCAGTTTGAAAATTGCTCCTGGGGACTAAGTTTGCACCAGCATCAGCAATTAAAGCATGCAAATCCCGAGGTGTGAAGCCAGACGTCTGTCCTACTATGTCCTTCACAAAATCCTTTAAGCAAGCCTGCAAGGAAGCACCTCAATTAAAAAAAATTACAAATGCTTTTAGCACACATGGAGATTTTACTTATTTATTTATTCATTCCAAAAAACATATACAAGTTACAATTTATTTTTCCATATTTGATACACTTAACAGGTCATGACATCCTTGTCAGTCTTTATATAAAATTTGAACGTTGGGGTTCAGTTCTGGTGTATATATGTTACACAATGAGGCATTCAAAACATTAAATTTATACCCTGCTCAGGTTCAATTTATTCGTAAAGAAATTCAGCCAAAGTTATAAAAAAAGCAGATGGAATATGTTTTCCTTACTCACATTAGAAAGGAGTTCAGCAACACCTTGCAGTGACTGGGACAACATTTCAGCCCTTTGTTCATCAGTCAAGGGACCCATGCTTACTTCATGGGTGAAACAACGCCTAATAGCTGGCGGCAGACCTTCAGAACTGTCAGCAGCTGCAACCAACATCACATGATGCCTACCCACATTTCCAGTTTCCTTTACAGGCTGCATCAACAGCATACAAGTGATAAGCTTAAAACATTATTGTTCTAAGTTCCACGATACATAGCAAGCAAAGTTCTCAAAATCAATTTTCTGTTCCTTGATTTTAATTCCTGAATGCAAGTTCTGGCTAGATATAACAGATCTATGTCGTACTCATGAAAGTGCATAAAGCATGCCTCATCAAGTAAGAAATGACAAATCATGAGAACACACAAACCTACAGGGGGGAATAATTTTCTTTAACAGGCTGCATCAACAGCATACAAGTGATAAGTTTAAAGCATTATTGTTCTAAGTTCCAGAATGAATAGCAAGCAAAATTCTCACAATCAATTTTCTGTCTCTAGATTTCAATTCCTCAATTCAAGTTCTGGCTAGATATAACAGATCTATGTGGCACACAGGAAAGTGCATAAAGCACACCTCATCAATTAAGAAATGACAAATCAAGAGAGTACACAAACCTACAGGGGGAATACTTTAAATAGACAGCGAAGAAAAAGTCAACATCTCATCAAATAAGAAATGACAAATCATAAGAACAGAAACCAATAGAAGTAAATAAAAGCATGCCTGAAAATCTAATCAACTGAAAAATATTGCTATTTAGTTGGGTCTTACAAAATCACCATTTGATTTGTCTTCAGCATAACCATCTTCATCTGGCTCAGTGAACTCTCTGATGACTGATGCAACTTCAGAGGAAAGCCCAATTTGATCGCTTGGGGAACCTTCATGAGAGGCCAAATTCCGAAAAACATCAAAATGGCTAAGTAGAAGTATTGTTGGTGAGTATCTGCCACCAAATATATAAATAGAGAAGTGAGCCCATAAAAAGCCTACAGAACAGCCATATCAACTGCAGTTATTTTGCCTGATATAAGTCATCATAGAAGCATAAAGTTTGAAAGAAGTGAAACTACTCCGTTACCTTAATTGAATAGTCCGAGAAGCTACCATATCATGAATATTTCCAAAACTAAGATATTTATACATATGATGATAAAATGTTAGAGATGCAATATTACACATTCTGATATAGAACATTTATCACAAGGAGCCGCAATTGACACTTTCAGAAATTTTGAAAATATATGCATTCTATATTCCATCTATAGGCAGCAGGATAACTATAGGCAATTGGGCATGTTCCCAACAAGTCAGCTGCTTCACCTTTGCGCACTGTTGAAAGCTTGAGTCAATGCAGCAGAGGTTTTCTTCTCAGAAGATGCTGTCAGATCATGGCAGCTATATTCAACTACATGTAGACCCAGTCGCTTAGCAACATATCTAACAACGGTCCTCTTCCCGCACCCTGCATTAAGCACTTGATCAGGACATAGCTACACTATACATTAACATGCATACAAATGCTAAAAGCAATCCTCCACTCTGCAATCAATCTTGTATTATAACTTATTGCCGTCACTAGGAAAACCCAGTTGTCATTCAAATTAGTAACAAGTTTGGCCAGCATAGTTTTAGCGGTTGCAAAGAGGAGGACCATAAAATTGTGTCATCAATCAAAGATTTCATTTTCCGATAATCATTATTTATGAACTAAGGAAGCCGTGCAGTTTAGAAGCCAAGATTGTATCAAACAGCATCAAGCACACCTGGGAGACCATGTAGTAAAACTGAAACTCTGAAGGTCAAGGACAGTGGAGATAGGCATAAAGGTGGTGTAAGAATGGATGCTAAAATCTTCACTGTGTCCCCTTGCAAAGGCGCAAAACCTTTTGTTCCAGCAATCAACATATCAGGAGGAACAGCAGATGGAGCACTCCCTCCAAGAACTAGAGCAGTCTGAGTATGATTGACTCGAAGAACTGCTTCATCTGATGGCTCCACAGCAACAACCTGAAAACAAGAATTACCATCTGATGACAGCCTGGCACATTGTAACATTCCTTGTGTGTATGGTTCCACTGGTTATACGTACACAAACTAAAACTATTACCTTGAAATAGATGATATTATTACTCCTGTTTTGCAATCTTGAACCACAAGGAATGCAAATGACTGAATTGCAGTTCCAATTTAAGAAAATGCTGAAAACATCTCCCCTTGCTAAATATCTATCAACTTCAAAGTATTTGTGTAATGCAGAATCAATCATTTCTTGGCGATCTTCAGCTTCAATAGAAGAAATTCCTCTCAAAGATTCCAGGGAACTGCATTCTGGTATCTTAACAAAGGAAACCCTCAAGTGTGATGCATATTTTGGCAGTCGACCCAAAGGTTCCAACCACAACCTGACAACAGAAGTATCAGTGCCTTCCCTGCCAGCCTTATCATCCACATCAGCTTCAAAGAGAGATGCTAAAGTCTCTTTCCCTTCATGGACAAGAGATCTCAAGCATGATATGTGCAGGTTAAGGTTAAAAGCTAATAAAGGAGATACATAGGCAACGTCACAGTCCAATAATACAGAGTCATTTTGAGGAAAACTGTACGCAGGAAACTTAAGCATTACATGTGGAGAATGGGATAGGGGTTCTTTGCTTAGAGATGTGTCGACATGGGCATTTGGGGGATCTAAAACAACAGCATGAGCAATTCTTTGCATCTTTGTCTCCACGTTTCTAACAATCACCTATAATTTTTAAGAACACAAAAAGGGGAAAAAAAAACTGAGGTCAGTCATTATAACATTATTAAGCACATGATTGTTTTTTTTTTTTTGCAATGATCATCGTCATCATCATTGTTACATTAAAATTATTGTCTATTAATTCCACTTTTTACTGATAATCATATCAATTTCAAGATTCAGACTTTGATTTTGAAACAAGAGAAATCTAGAACGCAAATAAAAATTGACATCATGCACCTTAATAATTTTTTTAAAAAAAGGTCCAAATTTCATTTCTGTTTCATTACAGCATTTTCGTAGCAACCAAACAGAGCTTAAAAAAAATGGTTTTGATATATAGCCAGATAGGAATTGCTAGTAAGCCTAAGCCACAAAGGCAGCAACTTGAATTAAGCTAAAAGCTCAGTTATTTTCTTTTCCCATATTTTCAAAGCAACCAAACAGAAGTTTATACTCACCAGCGAGCCAGATACTATTGACAGTCTCTTCAACATAGAAGTAGAAAGCCCCACTAAAGCAGAATCGTCGAGAGTAGCTAACTTGGGATCAGAAATGTCATTTTCGTCCTTCGAAAACCTAAGAATTCCGGCCTTTAAACGCAAGCCGTCAGCAGAAAGATTGGTTGGGCCGGTTTCATCGAGTCGCGCAGAACTCAGTACCGAGTGGACGAGAATTTTAGTGGAAGAGAGCACCAGCGGCTTCCTTCTTCCCACCATCCTTAAAACACCGGCAAAATCCCTAATTCGGATTTAATGAGTTAAAGGGGAGAAATGGGGAAGTTAAACATGGTTGTCTGCCTCCAGCTCCAGAGTTGCAGTTGGATGAGACGCTGAAGTCTGAAGTACGCAAATCGATGAAAGCCTCTTTCCTCATGAGTTGGTCTGATTTCGTTGCAGAGGCTGACGCCATTATTCAACCGTTTCAAACGTCAGCAATTTTGTTGGGCCGGGCTTTAACTTAAAGCTTGATACATAGCATAAAAATTTTCCAGGCCTATTTGGGCCTGTGACCCAATATGGGGTGCCAGGGAACCACT